TAGGGCGCACAAGCATAGATGATTCCCGGTCTCCTGCAGAGATGAACGCAGAGTTCTTCCTCAAGACTGATGTTTCAAGTTTCTTCCCTGTACGCAAGAACTGCCCGCGTGTGGTCTATATTGAAGCTACACATTCATTCCCCGAAAGAGAAGGCTGCCCTGGCTGCACGTACTGGAGGAGACACAGTTTCAGAACTACAATCACAGGGCAAAGCAGGAGTACCACACTACAGGACACAAGAACACCCGCCTGGGAGGGCAGAGGCGCCCAGGTCCGACTACCCCCCAAAGCATTGCACGCCGTGGCCACAGTTACCCGATTTTGCGATCCCGAAGCGCGTACAGCTGCCCCGAGCAACCATCGCCGGACCCAGCCAACAACCCCGAAACAATGCAAGCTGTTTGCGCATGTTACATGAAAAGTAGCTTGAAGCTTCCAAAACAGTGTAGTGGGAAAAGGAGAGAGAGAGGGAGAGAGAGAGACAGAGAGAGAAAGAGAGAGAGAGAGAGAGAGAAAGAGAGATAGAGAGGCTCCTCAAGCCCCAAAGAAAGAAAGAAAGATAGAGAGGGGAAGAGAGAGAGAGAGAGGCCTCCATGCCCTCCGAAAGAAAGAAAGGGAGAAGGAGACGGAGAAGGAGAGGGAGAGGGGAAGGGGAAGGGGGAAGGGGAAGGAGAAGGAGAAGGAGAGGGAGAGGGGGAGGGGGAAGGGGGAGGGTAAGGGGGAAGGGCAAGGGGCAGGGGAAGGGGAAGGGGAAGGGGAAGGGGAAGGGGGAAGGGGAAGGGGAAGGGGAAGGGGAAGGAGAAGGAGAAGGAGAAGGAGAGGAAGGAAAGAAGGAATGGCGGAAGGAAGGAAGGAACGGAGGAAGGGAAGGAAGGAAGGCAAGGAAGGAAGGGAAGGAAGAAGGGATTGAAGAAGGGAAGGAAGCAAGGAAGGAGGGAGGGAGGGAGGGAGGTAGGAAGGAAGGGCAAGAAAAAAACAAGAAGAAGAAGAAGAAGAAGAAGAAGAAGAAGAAGAAGAAGAAGAAGAAGAAGAAGAAGAAGAAGAAGAAGAAGAAGAAGAAGAAGAATAAGAAGAAGAAGAAGAAGAACACGAAAAAGAATAAGAACAGTAAGAGAAAGAGAGAACAAGGGGACCTCTTCGCTGTGTACAGGAAGAAGAAGATGAAGAAGAAGAAGATGAAAAAGATAGAGAAAGAGAGCAAGAGATGCAGGCGAGAGAGAGCGAGAGAGAGAGAGAGAGAGCGGGAGAGCGAGAGAGGAAGAGAGAGAGAGAGAGAGTGAGAGCGAGAGTGAGCGAGAGAGAGCGAGAGTGAGCGAGAGAGAGCGACAGAGAGCGAGAGAGCGAGAGAGAGAGAGAGAGAGCGAGGAAGAAGGTCGAGGAGCGATGAGGGAGAGGACCGTCGTAGAAGAGCACATGGCTGGGATGCAAGCCAAGCGCAACAGTCCCAGGGGTCGCGCGCAAGAAGTGCAACCGTCGTGGTCGGGGGAGCAGCAGCGGTACTTGTGTTAGGTTCTTTAGAAAAGGGGCGACCTCGAAAAAGGGGCCAGACGAGTTTCGTAGCGCGAGCCTGTCGCAGAACATCGTCCCGAAGACTAAAGTGGTATTAGATGGTAGGGTGCACTAGTTGCTGTGTGAGGGGCCGTTTGAAGGGGAACAAAGTGACGTTTGTGCCGTCGTCTTCCGCCCTCCGCGATCCTCCGCGTCCCCCAACCTCGCACATGCTCGAGAGCGTGAGACTGGGCAACGGACATGCATTTCATCGTGGGGTTCTTCTGGCAGGTCGCAGGATGGCACCTACTTGTACCATGGAGCCTTGGCAGCGACTATATTCGTCGAAGTACGAATCCACGGTAAAAGGGGTTTGCGTGCGCTTTCATGTCTTTGCAAGCCAAGGGCCTCGCTGTGGTCTTGGGCAAGTTGGAAAGAAGTGGATCATTGGCCCAGCTTTGTGTACGCCAGGCCCAGTGTGCTTGGTGTGTTGCTGTGCTATTTTGGCAGCCTTGTCCGAGAGTCTCTGTTGAATCCAAGAGTTGTTTGAAGGGAAATATCGGAGACTTTGGAACGGAGTAAACATCGAGATAGTCACTGGGAAGTCACGTCGGGGCAGGCATGCAAGTTGGGTCAGACATAGGATGCAGTAGTTGTAAATGCGAACGATATAGTTGCAAGGCCGGGTCCACATGGCATGCGTTCAATGCTTTACAAAGATTGCCATTCTGTCAAGGGGCAGTCAAGGGGCCCCCCAGAAAAGATTTCAATGATTCTGATTGAGACATGGGATGTGGTGGCTAGGATGGGAAATGGTATCGGTTCGTACAGTACATGTGAGAGCATCTGAGATCTTCCCTTGCCATGGCAGTCTCCATGCAGAGACGATTCAAACATACGACGTCTCTTGACATGTCAGTTTGTGTGGCAACGACGCCCGTCGACACGATTGCTTCTGGGGATTGTAGTGTTTGGGGACTTAACGTGGTGATCCCAGCGATCATTACAACAAGACGCAATGTCCCACATGTTCGTGTGCTTTGCAAGCATGTCAACAGTGGCGCGAAGGTCCATCGAACAACTTTTGGGTTCATATGTTGGCGAAAACCACAAGCTGTCAGCAGCGATGGCGAGTTTCGCCAACCTGTGTGTTTTGTCCACTTTCCACGGGACCCCGAGAGCTGTGGCTGCCTGGCTACGCTCATCTGTCGTGTTTCGGCTTTTCCTGGGACAGAGCCACTTGTGACAGGCCCTTTAGTGAAACATAGCCGCGTAGTTGTTCCCTCATGTCCTCCGCTGCTTTTGCACATCTCCTTCAATTTGCACTCAAAGCAGTGTCGGCACATGCTTTGTTCCAAAAACCAATTGTGGATGCCGATGCAGGCTTCGACTATGCCTACATGTTATCGGAGGATGAGTCTGGACCACCCTTATCATCCTTTGGATGGTCCGTGAATTGTGGCAGGACGAGCAAAGTCCGACTGACGCAGCAAGCTTGTCTTTACATTCTTACATGTGCTTTGTGCTTTCCGACTGCAGGACAGGTTGGTTGACGATGCAGATTAAATTTGGTCCGGTGACGTTGCTGCTTGCCTGAGTCTGTCCTGTTTTCTTAAGAATTCCGGGGTGCCATTGACAGGTTTGGACTTCGCTGCATATTGCAAGTGCGTATGGCACGCGGAAGATGTAACCAAGAAAGGTTCTTCAGTCTTAAGTTTACAGGTTCTACAGATGGCAATAGATGGCAGCAAGGAAAGCACCAGAAGTGTTTGTTAACCCAATTTGACCCAGCCAAGGAGTTTGCTCTGCAGAGCTGTGGTCAGAACTTCCTAATCCCGCACACGTAGTATTACGTAGTCGATTTGGTCACGAAAGTGTCACGAAGTTTTCGAGGATCCCAACGTGCTTTCAAGAGTCATGACATCGGGCTAGTTGCATGGTGGACACCTTGGTAGAACGAGGGTGCAATTCTTGCATACCTCGGAAAGTTGAGAGAGTAGCAACGTTCGGGAAACAGAGGCCACATTCACCTGAGAAAAATTCGGAAACATGCGGGGGGCAGTCAGGAAACAGCCATGCAACGGCAGACAGCACGGAGACCAGCAGGAAGGGGAAAAACACCGAACCATTTCTGTGTTTGCAAGTTCATGGGAGTTTAGGGTTCAGGGTTAGGGTTCAGGGTTTAGGGTTTAGGGTTTAGGGTTTAGGGTTTAGGGTTTAGGCTTTCGGGTTGAGGGTTGATGGTTGAGGGTTTAGGTTTTGCGGTTTAGGGTAGGCTAGTTTCCTGACTGTGGCGGGGCTGCTGTCTGTGTGTGTCTGTGATGTTTCCCTGAATGCAGCGTTGCTGTTTCCGACTTTGTTTTTTGACAGAGGGGCGCACCCAAAAGTTGAAGCATGCAGTTCTGCTCAGGTATGGCCGCATCAAGACGCCGAAGGGCATGTGCCTCCAGGCATGGCATGGCGACCCTTTGTTGCAGCCATGCACATCGGATGGCTCACAGCTGCAACTTGTTTGCATCTTGGCATCCCGGAATCGGTTTAACAGATGGTAAGGGCAGTGCCCCCCAGGTGGATCTACAATGGAACAAGCGGCCTACTAAGAGATCGACACGGTGAATGCTTGGAGGCACCATGATGATTGAATGCAGCTGGACAGTTGGTGTGCCGACACTGGACATGCGTATTTGTTAGAGCGCAGGCGCCGATTGTCGGCGCATTTCCGTCGCAGCCAGTTGGCACTCCTGTTCGCACAGCCGTGTGCGATCCTGATGGGGCCAGCCAGCAGTGGGAGCAGCTTTGCATGCGGTCAGGTTTAGGCCCGTTTAGGCCTTGTCCATTTGTGCAGAAGGGCCGTGCGCGAGTTCCGAGAGTGCCCAAGGTACGACAAGGAAAATAAGCAGGCCAGAGATGGCAACAGAGTTTGAAGAGTTTGTTTCGGCATCAATCGTCTCTTGTCGCCTGTTCCCTTCAGGTGAAGCTTCAGAACGGCAATTGTTTGGATGCGGCCCAGCCAGACACAGTGGGTGGTCGCGTGCAGGTCTTCCCCTGCCATGTTGGAAACGATAATCAAGTTTGGGTCTTCTCCAAAGACTAGAGAGGAAAGGCTTGAAGCTTGGCGCCAGGCCAGTAGCAGCCAAGTAACCTGGGCAGCGTCTTTTCGTGTTGCTGACATCAGCTTCCGCGACGCTTCCTTTTGCCGTGACCTTCCTGTCGTCGTTTCGTACAGATCATGTGGCTGTGCCTTGTACAGTGTATGTGATGTAGGATTGCCCATTCGCGCTCGCCGACGAGGCGTTGCAGTGCGAGTATATGCGCCCCCGAAATTTTAATGTCTTTTGCGCACCTGCTGTTCTGCAGACGGTCGGGTAAGAGGCTCTCAACTTGAGTCAACCACGGCTCGGGCCTTTCGGGAAACGCCAGACCCTGTCAGCCAAGTGGAAAACGCAGTTGCGGGAAGCCGCCTCCCAAGTACGGATGCTCAGGTTCAAGCCTTGGATCAGTAGTTTGTCAGGAGAGCCCGTATGGCGATGCGGAAGACACTGGACAGGCGTTGACAGTTCTGAACCGTTCTTCTGAACCGTTCTGAAACCATGTCCCTTGTCCTGGCCAGTGCCTCTCCATGCACCAGCCGTGGGCCTCCTTGCTGGTCTACGGCTTCAAGCGCGCTGAGGGCCGCTCGCCGCGCCCCCGAAGTCGTCGAGTTGTCGAATTCAAAGGGCAAACAAGCCTTGTGTTTCATGGTTATGTTGTTTTGCATGCGCTTTGTTATAGCATCTTTCGCGTTCGAAGGTGGAGTACGGATCATCGAGGCCATCTCTGACAGCCTGAGTCTCTTGGTACGTCATGGTGTGTCTTGGCCACAAAGGACGCTTGTGGATACATGCGACTTCTAAAGCCGCGGATCCAGATGACATTGCCGCCTTGGAAGAGAGGCTTGGCACATCTTGGCACCAGTTGCTGCTTGTTGACTTGTTGGCCAGCAGAGATGTGTCACTAGGTGAGAGTATGTGTGTTATTGACAAATCGGCCCCATAAAGCCCCGTACATCTGGCTTCCACACCTTTGCAGGTACAGGGATCTCTATGAGGCGG